AGGCCAGCCTCTTCCCTTCTGGCAGGGGCTACATTTGCTTAATGCCACCTCCTCTTGGCACAGCTGCAGGCAGTGGTCACAGGCAAGCTCCCCATCCTCCCCAAACCAAGCTCAGCCCATCACCTGTACCTCAGAGGTTACTAAACCAAATACCACTCATTTCTTCCTTAACATCAGCTTGTGGTAAATGCTTACACACTAGGAATGAAGAGAATTAAGACAAGAAAAGGGGCTGGGGCTTTAGCACGGGCTGAAAACTCGCAGTGCTTCCTCCTTTAACAAAGCCAAGAAAGAGCAGAAGCATTCAGAAATAAATACAGGGACTTGTACGTCCTCAGCAGTTTTTGAAGTGGTTTCTGCAGGGCAGCTGGAGTCACAGCGCACATCAGCTTGCCTATTCTCTGTGAAATAAGCCATGGATTTTCAATGAGCTGTCACTTCCCAAATCCCATTTCAGAAGTGATTCTGGCACTTGCATGTATTTGCAAATTTGACACCCTATGTTCTGTTGCTGACCTGTGCTTTTCGTGTCACTGGAAGCCCTGCACGGGCAAGCGAGGTCAGACTCGCGACTCCCGCGCTCCGGGGCATCGCCATCTCAACACGCTTCAGCAAGCCACGTTTAGTCATCTTAACCAGTTAAGATGCTCTCAGCTGCTTAAGAGCTAGAGGGAAGTTGCAAGACTTGATTTACAATTGGAAAGCATTTATAAACCTGGTTTATCATCTAATTATAAAAAAATGGAGAAGAGAAACTACAAAAGACCTGATCCCACAAAGCTGCACCAACATCAGCAGCCTGCATGTTGCTCGGGCAGTACGGATTTGCGGAACGAGATCCTTTGTGTTTTTAGGGGGAGAAGCAGCTTGCAGGTGGCAAGTGCTCTTTACTTACGCCTCGGTAATGATGTTCCCGTGCACAACCACATTCCTGGGCTGAAGAGCGCACAAATGGCACCCACATGGGGAGCCGGGTAAGAGCTGTGGCGGTTAAGGGGAAATCTCCCTAGAAACACCAAAGTAAAGACAATGCGGTACAACCCTCCTCCAAAACACATCTGCAGCACTGAAGCTAATGAAGCTTGGCCTCCAGCGAGCCAGTCTCTCTTCATTAGAGGCAAACGCGTGATGCCCTCACCGGGGCCTCTCCTCCCTCTTGCCACCCAGTTTTATGGGACCTTCAGGAATGCAATTAGCGCCAAGATGTTTTCTCCTTTGTCAGACTGCCTGGCAGGCAGCCAAGGGGTTCAAAAGCCTCTGAGCCCCGCAGCCAGCTGCTCCGTCCCGAACCCAGCTGCAGGCAGGCAGGGAGGGCTCTCTTCCCCCCTCCCAGCCACCCACATTTCAGAGTAGAGGCCAGAGCGATGCGCCGAAGGTCTCAATGCAAGAGGGCAACTTCTCCATCCACAGCAAAACTGGGAGTGAAGCGTTCAGGGCTTTGGGAAGTGACTGCCTGCTTTGTTGGAGCACGATGCCATGAATAACCCAGTTGCATCTCTTTTGGAGGAACAGAGCACTTCTGCAAGCTACCCCCAATGGTCCTTCCAAAAGCTGGATTAATGGCTGGAAACAGCTACTCTGGAGCTGTTAACTGGACTCAGGGCGCATCGGCACCACTGCCACTTATTAGTGACTAAGCAGTATCAACTAAGGGTTGGATGCAACTTGTATCAACATTCATGATGTGTTATAAATGACTACTTTTCCCGCTCGTTTCACAGATGCCAGAGAGGCATTAAACCTCCCACTAATTGGAATCAAATTCTTGCTTCTCCTTTAGATATCTCCCACTCAAAATCTGCTTCTCCACTTTACGGGGGTCACGAAAGGACAGGATCTATACACTGCACTGTCTGCAGTCATCTCTCCTCTCAAACCCTGACAAAATGAGGAGCCAATATTTATAAATGGACCTGCGAATGAAAATGCTTTTTCTGGCCAAAGGACTGAATACCATGAGATGAGAAGCTCAAAGTTCATTTCAGATTACTTCAATCCTTCTGTGGCTTTTGCCAGGAATACATGATGCCTGGGCGCAATCTGCCACCCAGCCCTGTGTCATGGCAGTGACTCGATGGGGACAGCTTCACTCTGGATCGTGAAAGGAAACAACATCCAGGCTGGCTGGTGTTGGGCTCGTGGTGCCTCTGAGCTGAGGTGTGCATAAAGCATGGCCACGTATGTGCAGAACAGTTTGCATACATGGGTTTTTACTTCTCAGATTGGAAAACTGTGCTTTCCTCCTTGTGTTCCTCCAAACCTCAGGTGGGTGCTCTTCTACCTGCTCTCTCTGGGACGAGCGCTCAGAGGTTCATGATAGCATCTTGTTCAACAGCTTGGGCTGGCGTAAATGCATTTAATGGGGGACACCACAGCCCGTGTGCTAAAGCTGAGGTTGGGTGCTTTTGGGGTGAAAATGTTCAAAACATGGTCGTCAGAAACTCACTGAGAGGCATGAAGTGCCTTCTACACTACCAAAGATTAATAGAGTATAAATAAAGCCCTTGACAACAGTGATGAATTCCCCTCATTGGTCCAAGTCAAGCAACTCCTAAGCAAGGACAGAGGCAATAACAATCTGCAGCAGAACAACCATTCCCTCCAGGCTGCTTTTTTGGTTTCTGCATTTGCTAAAACCTGTCTGTCTCCCCTGACGGTGGGATTCAGCCTGTGAGAATGGTGGGCACCAGGATGGTGGGACCATTCAGTGACAGAACTTGTGCCCAGGAGAAGACAGAACAGAGGCAGGATGTTACCTCTTCCCCTTGCAGAAACAAAAGCAGCAACCAGACCCTGCATGACCATGCCACAGGACCTGCACCCAAGGTGAGTCCCAAACTCCTCTGGCTGCCAAGTCTGCACGTGCTGGTGGTCTGAGGCACTCAGTGCCGAGCTAAACACAAGGTCTTTTTCAACAAGGCCACATCTGTACATCTGTAGTGAGGAGAGACCACGCGTCTGCTGGAAGTCACCAGCGATGCCTGTGTAGCAGAGGGCTGTTTGTTAGGGCCAGCTTTGGGCACAGCCCTCTGTGCAAGTTCAGACGCTTTTGGTGGGCTAGTGAAGCCCCAAGCTTCCTGGGCTGACAACACCACCTCAAAATGTTATGTCATTTCACCTTACAGCACTTGCTGCAGCTCAGACTTAGAACCATAATTGCTGGAATTTAAGAAAAAAAAAAAAAAGCGCCAGCAAAAACAACAGCAATGGAAATACCAGCAGGCATAAGGAGAACCACCCCAGTGCATGGAGCAGTGCCAGGCTCCATCCCACCCCTGCAGCAAAGAGGAGGCTACTTGGCCTCAGCCTACCCTTTGTTTTCTTTCACTGCTATAAAAAGGACTTTTAAATGACTGCAGAAAACTGGCAAATCCCAAACCAGCTATGCTGCTTTTCCCAGCACAAAAATCCCTCCACAGGGACAGAAGAAAGCAGGTGCAACGGAAGACACACAGCTTGTTTCCCTGTAAAGCATCAGAGCTCTGGCTTTCCTGATGACATGGAAATCCAGGTAAAGAGGTGTCCTTCTCTTGCAGTACCAGAAACTTGCAACCAGAAGGTGCTCCATCACTTACTGCCCAGCTCAAAAATATGCAGGGCAAGATAAACAGCAGGGGAAAGAACCCACCACTGCCCCAGAGAAAATGTGAAAAATAGCTATTTTTCCAAGCTTACACTTATTATGGAAATTTCGTCCGAGATTTTGAGTTAAGGAAATATTTTACTTGCTCAAATGTAGGGAAGTTTTAAAGAATAGCCTTTTGCTCAGCTCCAACTGGGGGAATTCTGTCTGAGGGCTAATCCAGGCAATTACATGCAAGGTAAATTATGTGACCTTGGACTGACAAGGAATTAAAGCCTTTTTAGCAAACACAGCCAAATAACTCCTCTACCTCTGCTTAAGCAAAGCTGACTGGTTACATCTTTCCTAGTGAATGCCTTTTTTTGCCACTGGGCAGAAAAATCTGTACATAAAATACCTTCAGTAATCTTTAACAGAGATTTTCTCTAATAATTAACAGACTGAAACACAACCTTTCCTTTCACCTGCACTGCATCAGGGGATTACTTCAAACGCTCCACCTTTAAGAAAACATTGTTTCTGCCTACGCAGGGATGGCACGCAGAGAAGAAATCCAACCTAAGAAGACACCAAAAATCCTCAGAGGATGCAAGCCTGTGCTGGTTTACTCTTTCCTAGGGATATACTTCAGTGTGCAAGAGATATGCATGGTTACGTCAAAACAACACCACTGAAGCCAAGACTGACAATCTCCGCAGGACCTGGGAAGAGGACAAGCCTGCCAGGAGGGAGCTTTTCCCTCTAATGCTGGAAACTCAGTTCTGATGGGGAAAATGTACTTTTTGATCATTAGTGTGGATGCACTTAAACCTATACTTCCTTTTTTCCCTAATGAAAAGAAAGGGAGAACAGATTCCCTCCAAAACTCAGGCACATTTCGGCAGCACACCCTGCACACACCAGCCCAGCAGCTTTCCCCATTTCGGGATGGTTTCCCCAACCCTATGTCACAAGGGGCACGAGGGAGGAAAGCCTCCTACCTGAGCAGAGGACTCCCTTGTACCTGGCGCAGGAGAAGTCGTCGCACTCGCAGAAGGGCCCGTAGATGTTCCCAAACTCGCTCTCGTAGCAGAGGCACTGGTTGCAGCTGCACTCCCCTCTCCCGCTGCAGAGGGGTTTGCCCTCCGCCTCCCGGCACATGGCGTGGTGCATGTCCCCACTGGCACCCTCCTCGCACTCGCACCTGGCCCCCAGGTACCCGGCATCGCACTCGCACAGCCCGCAGGCGTAGGTCCCGTTGCCGCTGCACTTGCCACTGGCCGGTGCTGCGTGGCCGGTGCAGCCACAGAGGCAGTTGTAGGTCACTGCCACCTCCAGAGTGTCCCGAAAACCAGCGGGTTTGATGGTGAAGGCGTGAGAGGTGTCCTCGGCTGGGCAGCTCCGTGCCTCCACGGCCACCTCAAAGGAAACCTGTGGGGGACAAGGTTGAGATGCAAGTTAACACGCAAAGCAGCTTCCAAGGGTGTCCCGCGATGGAAGGCAGGAGGGAAGGGCCAATGTCCCGAGGAAAAGCCATGGAGCAACTTCCAAGAGCATGGCCACGCTCAGCACATCAAGCTTCACTCCCACGTGTGCAAAAAAAAAAACCCCAAGAGAATTGCGCGTCTAGCGAGAGCATCTGCAGCTCAATGCACCGACATCTGCCAGCCCCACGAGGGGTTTGGCACCCCAACCGTTTTAAAAGTCTTTACAGCCAGCCATCAGCAGTGATTTTCCCCATGAGGGATCGTTGGTTTCTGTGAAGTGGGAAGGAGCCAGCCTATTCCCATGAAATAAATAGGGCAAAACTCTAGCAAATAGCCTGGCTTTCACATCATTAAAAATCACAAACCCTTTTGAAACCAAGCACTAGCAAGGAGCCCGCCAACCCACCACAAGGGCCCGAGGTGCCTGCAAGATCATGGATTAAGAAGGTTTTATGAGAATCCTGATCGGCACATCGAGATGTGCATCAGTCACACAGACCCAAGCTTTCAGCACACTGCTCACAGGCCATTTTTGACGGATGCTTCTATTACAACTGGCTTCCGCAGGGTTACACATTATTGTATGCTTATACATCACCCCCCCGACTAATTTTCTGTTGCTACATTCTAGCATCAGGGATTTTCTCTTTGGATAAACCAAGACCGTCCTATGGCCACTTGCTTGATTCAATCCTGCTGTTTGGTGGGGATCTCGGGCCAGCTGGCACTGCCCAGAGCTGCTGGTTAGCAAAGAGGATTAACCTTATTCTGAGGAAACAAGCCCCTTTCCTAGACACCAGGAGGGAGTGATTTTTTTTTTCTGGGGTCACCTCGAGCTCTCACTTACTGCACCATCCCATGTGCCAAAGGGTTGATGTGAGAGCTGCACCCCCAGTAAACCTCCCCTGACCCCCCCCTTCCCCATTCCCAAGGCCTGAAGCAATTAGGGAATGAGCTCAAATTACAGAGGAGAAGGCAAACAGAAAGCAAGCTAAGGGGATCAGGGTAATCCTGCTCCCTTTCACCCTCTGACACCCATCTCCCCGGCACTAAACCCCAGCAGATCAGGACCCAGCATTATCCTCTTTGGGGAAACTTTCTTAGCAGAAGTCAAAACTTCATCAAGGTGGAAGCAACAGGGCTGAGAGCAGCTGAACAAGAGGGGCCAGAGGGATGGGACCCCTATGATGCTGCAGCATTTCTGCCTGTGCAAGCACCTCAACACTCAGGGGCAGCTAAAATGTGAGAGGTGCCTAGTGCAGGCTTCCTGATGCACCCCAGATTTTCAGCTGCCTGGGCAGAAGGTACCCTCAGTTCATCTAGATGGGGATAGCCAGTCATTCCCGCTCACGCCATCAGCCTCTGCGGATACGGGCATGCACGTACCCGCTGCCAAACCCCTCCATGGCACGAGCTCCAGCGGCTGGAGTGACCCCCCTGCTCGTGCCCAAGCCGGGAGCCCAGGATCAACCACCAGATTAACTCCGCTACCTTGGGGCTCAGGCTTTGCTGGGGGAACAAGGAGGGCAACGCTCCAGGGATTGCTTTTACCAGGGATCCAGTAAAGTCAGCTAAAAATGCAGAGGCCACCTCCCTTTTTAACACTTCCCATGGTCCTTATTTGGCGGGGTAAAAATCCAGCTACTGTTGATTCTTTCAAACTATTTTTATGTGCCTCAGCACTTCGAGCTCTGGTATGTTTGCAGAGCCGCTCTCCTCAAATAAGGCAATCAGGCTGCTAACGAACCTACGTCCCTGAGGAAAGCCTGGAGAAGGGGAGGGAGTTCCCTGACAGTCTGAACCCTCCTGCCCCAGCCCTGCAGCTCAGCAACTCGTTTAGCTGTATCAATATTCAATTTAAAAAGAGCAAAGATTAACTTTTCTGGAGTTTATTTGTTTTGTTTTTTTTTTTTCCTAAAAAAAGCACGGAATGGATTATGCTGTGTATACATTTAACATGAAGGGGCAAACTACATTTTCAGTCTGTGCTGCCATCCAATAACTCTAGGAAGACAAGAGGAGAGTTGCTACCTTTCTGAGCACCCTGTCCTTCTTTGCAACCTCCGAGGTTAACTGCGACCCTGGGAGAGACAAATTTAGATTCTCAAACAGTAACAAGAAAACCTTGCCTATTTAATAGACCAGGGAAAGACCAGCAGAGCACGGCAATAAAAAAATCACAGACGAGAGTGTGATGTGAATATCTGGGATTACGATAAAAAAAGCGTGCATTCTTGCATCCTGCTGCCTGATCAAGACCTTTTGGCTCAGGGTGCTGCAGATATGATGCCTGTATTCCCTCTTTCCTCACAGCTGACTTTGGGTTGATTTGTACCACCCAGAGCCACTGCTAGCAGAGCTGCCCTCCATGGTTTTCTGTATTAACATGGCATGGAGTGAGGACAGCAGAGGAAGAGGAGCAAAGGTGTATTTTATTGCCTGGGACCACTCATTGAGAGAGGTAAGAAACTACATGGGGTGTGAAACAGCCTCTCCAGGGGACGGACCGGAAGGCAGACTCACCGTATCTCCTATTTTGAGATCCCCACACTTCCTGAGGCCGGGATAGGATAACCCATCCTGGCATGTGGCAGTGAAGGTCAAGCCGATATCCTCAGGGCTATCCCAGACTGTGAGCTCCACCTTGGACCGAATACTCTAGAAACACAACGGGAAAGCAAAGCATTAGGTTCCCAAAGACGGGCATGTTTCTTCTGCATTAGTCTCATCTACTGATGTTTCCAGAAGGCAGCTAGGACATCTCTCCATGGATATGAAAAAAAAACACCTGTGCACGCACACTGACATTTGGGTTTGACTTAACCAGCTCAGGAGACTTCTGATGAACACAACTAGGGTCACAGGGAGCTGCCTACAGCCCCTGCGGGTGGCTTAGGCCCTCTAGGACAGACGAGACGAGCACTGTAGCCAGCACTGAAAAGATTTGGATGCACAAGGAGAAGGAAGAAAACATTCTTGACCACAAATGGAGCATCTCTGAGATGAAGGTGAGAGCCTCATGCATAGAGCCGCACCTCCTCCTTCTCACAAACCAGTTCCTTAGTGAAGCACAAAGCCCGATCCTCCACTGGCAATCTCCTGTGAAGTCCATCGTACTGCACAGAGAAGGTGTAAACTGCACTAACTGTCCTGCTCTCTTGATTTCAGCCAACTGGTCAGAAAAATGTATTTTCTCTCTTCAGAGAAAATGCCGAACAAAAAGTACCCTTTCAGAAGTGTCAGCTTGAAACACCACCATGGGAAAATATAAATGAAAAATCTCTGTGACACTTTTCAAAGTGAAAAACGTTTTCCATCTGTGAGGAGTTGGATTCCTACCCCCTCTTCTTCTTCTTCTCATCTCTCCACCCTGCTGCACACACAGACTTTTAAAGTCAAAACAAAGTGAAGTTTATAAGTATTAATTTGGAATGAGGTTGTTTTGTTTCATTCTTCCAGTGGCTGGAACTGATCTTTTTTTGTGAGTGGTGTCCAAAAAAGACAAAGGTTTTCAAAATGGAGTTTTTTGTACAAATACATTTATTTTCCAAAGACAGCCTGCAGCTCCATTCTACTCCCTCTTGTCCTCAACCTTCACTGAAGTGGCCAAATTAAGGAAAAGTGCTAATTCAGTCCTCTTGCCAGTCCATGTGGTGACAAAGCCAGGGTTCACATGCCAGCAAAGGGCTAATGCTTTTGGAAAGGGGCAGAAAATAAATGAATTGTGGCCAGATGGACCTAAACAGCCTTTGAGGAAAAAAAAGGAATACTTTCCTGTCTCTCTGCTGTAATGGAGGAACCATTCATAGAGTGACAGTTTGGACCGTATGGAGCATCCTTCACCTGTGGGCTGAATGCCGTGCATGCTGATAAAGCTGAACATGCTGCTCTGCCCAAAATTATCCTGTAGAAATTAGCTGTCACACCGATATGCTCTCATCTTTCTGCCCTGAGCATCTTATGTGGGGCACAGCAGAAGACGGGTCACCATGCCAGACCTCGGTATGACCTTGTGTGGGCCCTTCCTATGTTCTTACACAGATGCCAAGGTTTGTTGTTAGCCCTATATAGTAATGCTATTAGCCTAATTGTAATGCTATTATTATTAGCCCGTTATTTGCACCATTACATGGCAATACCTTCTCACAGCACCAGAGCCACTACTAAGGGTGAAGCAGGATTTTGCTGCTGTGTTGTTTGATGGCCCCAAGCCTGCTGAGCCCTCAGGGATGAGCAGAGAGACTTAAGGGAAGGACCTGGTCCTGAGATGAAGCAACATCTCTGCCTGAAATAAAGCTGTTTGCTATAGACCAGGGGAAATTCAAAGGATGGATCATTTCAGTGTAAAAACAATGAAATCATGAACCAGCAGCAGCTCGAGGGATGGCTGATGTGAAGGCCACCCGTTGCCTGCTATGGGAAACCCATCGGTAGTGTAATGAGAAACACATTCAAGACCTGTCTGGATTGGGTTTAGGAAAGCGGGTTTTAAACCAGTAACCCATTTGCTGCCCCTGGTCCAAACCCAGCCTGCGAGGGAAAAGGAATCTCGGGAGTAATGTAAGCCCTGAGCAAGTCTGATGTGTGCATTGGTGGAGGGAAGCAGACAAGAGGACCAGAGATGGCCAAAGCACCGAGGGGGAAAGGCTGAGCCCAGGCCCAGGGTGCCAGCCTGGCACTCCACAGGAGAAGACGGTCCCTGTCACAGATGAAGGGTTCCTCCAGGCTCAGAGTTTCCTTTCCATGAGGAATAAAGAAAGGTTCATTAGCAATGTGGGAAACAGAAATTTTAGCCTTCTCCCTCAGTGAGAATTCCCTCCTTCATTTCAGGGAAAAAACAAAGCTACTGGGAGGAGGTGGGCTGAGCGGGCACCAGGGCTCGCTGCGGCACAGGCAGGAGCTGCCAGCTCCCAGCTGGGGGTCCCAGCCCACACCCACCACCCAGCTAAAATAGCACAAAACCAGCCCCAGCCTCAGCAGCCCTTCATCCGCACTGCTCCTTCTATGGGCACCTTGGTCTCAGCATCCTGGTGTTTTCCAGCCAGCTGCACTGGAAAGTTCACAAGCAAAGAGAAGGAGGGAGCAGGAGTAGGGGAATCAGATCCCCAGTGCTTTTCTTCAGCCTATATCCTTTCTGCAAAAGGCTCAAGGGGTGGTGAAATGGGGGCACGGGTGCATGTTATGGCTGGGGAAATGAGACACAGGGAGGTTTTCATGCAATGGCACAGAGACCACGTGCAAAGTCAACGTGGAGTGAACATTCATTTCTTTCTCCCCAGCCAAGCATCTTAGCCACAAGATCCTTCTTCCACAGGGGAGAAAATGGGACAACTGGGCTTTTGTTTTGCAGTATCCCCAGGGCCTCATTAGCAGCATTAGCTGCTCGTTGCCTTTCCTCAGAGAGTGATGCTTTGGGAAGTGCTCTTCCTGAGGGCATAACCAAATGCTGCTTTAACTGTGGGAACTCGTGGGGGAAGGAAAGATGAACGTTACAGGTCATGCAAAGCACAGCACAATCCTACGTGACCTCTGGATGTGTAAACTCCTCCAAATAAGTTCTTCCTCAGTCCCTTGCACTAATGACCATAGTACCATGAAGAAGGGCTTGCAGCCATTGGAAGCTGTGTTCACAAGTCCCATGCATGAAGAGCCCTGCCTGAAGGCTGACCCATTACAGGATCAGATCTCACATGCCAAGCACCAAAACAGCAATATCCTTCCAGGAGCATGAGAAACCATCCCATGAGAACTCAGGAAGAAGCCAACAGAAATGCTGACAACTACCTACCCAACAAATATGTGATTTAGCTGCTTCCAATCGATCCGCTCCCCTGATCCCCACAGAGACAGACAACATCAGGTCAGCAGTACAACTGCAGGTCCGTTGCTGTTCCCCATGGGTCCCATCACAACAGAGCAGGCTACAGTGGCAACGCTGTGTAGGCAGGGCTCCTTTGGGACCCAAGTGACACGGTGATGCTCACAGGTTGCTGAGCACCAACTTGTGCTGCACAAGAGATCAGTGCAAGGGTGTGACCTTAGTCAGATCCCGGTCACATCCTTGGGAGGCCTCTGAACTTCAGGTAGCTAAGATAGGTAACGTCAAATAATCTATTCTATCTACCAGTAGGTTGCTCTGCGAGAGAACTGGTTTGCATCAGGACTGAATTTTGAGGGTAACGCTGCACACCAGAGTGTGGGCTGAAATCTCTGCTTCACCACAGGCTCCCTTGGGCATCCCTGTGCTCCTCCACCTCACACCACTCGTTTCCTTCCTCGGGGTGGGTGCCCAGCTCCGGCGGTGTGTGGAGGACCGAGGATAGAGGACCCAGCCAAGCTCTTGGCGCTGCGCACGAGCGAAGCTGTGGCAGCAAAAGGCACTTACGTTGTAGGCCTTGACGATCAGCTCGATGATATTCTTGGAGTCTTTGTGCAAAATCTCCACTGTTGTCCCAGGAATCAAGGCAGTAAAGTTCTTGAAAAGAAAAACAAAAAAAGAAAGAAAATACTGTGCTGCAGCTGCCGTGGAGAATGAGGAGGGACCGGGGTCACTGGCCACACACCCTGCCCTGCCTGGTGGTGCACACAGTAGGGCTCAGCTCCCGTTAACATGAGCTTTTGAAAGCGAAGCACTAACACGGCACGACCCAGCCACCCTGCACTCGGAGAGCCGGCACAGCAGGGCGGGCGGTGTGGCTGCCCCATCTCGCCTCACCGACACACGAGCATCCCCAGAGAGGGGGTGGAGAACCAGCTCAGCCCTCCCGAGCAGCAGCTTCTCAACCGTAGCAACGCGACTACTTGTTCCTGCTCGAGCCTCAAGAGCCGGAGCAGAGGTTTCCAAAAGCAACCCTGCCCAAAACACCTCCCCGCACCCAGAGGGGAGCGAAACCCCGAGGGGCAGCTCCAGACACAGGCCGGTCCTCGCAGCTCAGGTCAGCTTTTCCTTTCGAGGCAGCTCAGAGTGTATGTGGCGCATCAGGGCCCTGGACTCCGTGATGGAAAAACACAGCTGGGCAGAACCGCTGCGTGCGATTAGGTAATGGGATTAAGTCACTGCAGAATGGGTTGAACAGGTTCCTGCTCTCTCGCACGCTGCACGGCTGGCAGCCATCCGAACACCGAGATTAAGCTGGAGTCTATTTTAGGTCTTCACATGCTCACTAACATATACATCTTGTTTGCTCTAAGAAGCTTTAGGGCTTTTCACTGAAAGGACCAGCGGGGAGGGACGGCAGGCTGCGCTTCTCCTGCCTGCCCCTGCCTGCCCCTGCCAGCCCCACGAGCAGTGCGTGGCCACGCGCTCGCAGCTGCCTCGGCTCCACGGTGCCGGCTGGAAGATGCTTTCACAAGGCATTTAAATCGCCCGCCAGCCTGGTCAGCTCAACAGCACTTACCTTGTACAGGACATAATGACTTTTCGTAACAGCAAAAATCAGGTGGATGTTGTTTTCGGCGAGTTTCTCCCCAAGAAGAGCCAGGGACGGATAATCCTATGGGCACAAAAAGGGCAGAACGACTGATGGGTAACACAGAAACACGGACTAATTTCATTGCTCTTCTCTCAACAGCAAAATTCATTCCAGACATGTGGCATGCTTTGCTGTGGAACGAAGTCCCTGATGTACCAGCACAATCCCAGCTGAAATAGTAGAAATTCTGTCATCCCTTACATATTTCTGCTACGACCTTCACTAGAATATATGACTGGCAATGCCATTAGCTACAGCAACACCTGAAACGCTGGATTGCTTTCTTTCTTTCTGCTTTGCCTTCAGCAGACGCATGTGTGTAATAAACTGGCTGCTATCTCGAGGGATGAGAGGCAGGGAGGTCTAGAATTGCAGCAAGTGGAAATGTATGATTTTTCTCCCAAAGCAGAAACACCCACTGCCTGCTCTTTCTGCATACCGGAACCATAAAGAGATTAGGATAAGCTCTTCATTTCTGCAGACTCCCAGACAGAGGACGGCAAGAAGATACTGCTCTAGCTACCCACAAGCAACAAAATAATGAACCAGGGCTCACTTTCAAGAGACCAGCTTGAGTTTAAAACCCCAGGCTGCTTCTGAAGTGCCACCCTTATTTAAAAACACCTCATTTACTTGCAGACTGGAGAGCAGATTGAGAGCCTCCAAGACTCAAACAGGGAAACACCAAGGCAGCATCCCCACGCCGGCTCCCCAGCGTAACTCCACGTCAGTCTGGGAGTTGTGCTCCCTTACGAATACACTTGCTAGGATTGCACAGAGGAGTGGGAAGGGAGTTTCTGTGAGGAGCCTAGCCTCTGGCTATAAGGCAGCCATCCAGAAACACCTCCCCTTACAGGGTGACATTCATCCAGGAACAAAAATCATAATTAGTGCTTGTGATCTGCTGAATAAAGCACAGTTCTGCAGAAGGATGCGCTAATGAGGCGGCAGGCGAGTGCTCATTCATCCCAAAAGTTTCCTCCACTGAGCTTGAATGAAAAAAAAAGGGCTAGTCTGCCTATTTATTACTAAGACCTATGTTAGTGTTGTGCTCAAAGGCTGTGAATAAGAGGAGCATCTCCTTGTGCTTGCTACTGTAGCCACATCAAGGTAGACTCAGCCTACCCAGGGAGAAACTGACAGTCCACTGGACATTCTAGAAAAGGGATGACATATTTTATGTTTCCTCTACACTTTGCAACCAAATGTGATGCTCTTCAGGGCACCAAGTCATTTTTCCCTCACTTGCAATGAGGCGTGAAGGAACTCGCCAAGCTCCTAATTCATTTTCGAGCATCACAGCGGATGCGCAAGGGGAATGGCAAATTTTATTTGCAAACTGCAGGACCAGGTGAAACCATGCTAGTCAAGGGCTGCATTTGCTGAAAGCAGCTGGACTCGGTGGTGGCTGGTCTCCAGAGAGGTCCACCAATACCCCAAGACCCTTGAAGACTGGCCCCCCCACATTCCCCCTCACCAGCTGGCTGGACGCGCTGTACTCGTTGGCTTCATTCAGGTGGCACTGGCCGTCGTGAGGCTGCACCAGACCCCCCAGCTTCCCATCCAAGGCTATGTGGGGCACATCATCTGTCGTGAAGACCAGCAGGTGAGACGCCTCCTTACGCCAGCCGATCTTCTCCTGGGGGAAAACAAATCCCGTGAGACAGCCGGTCTGCCCCTGCCAAGCCCACGTTTCACCCCGCACCCTGCACATGGTGCGAGCCATGCACCCGTCCAGCAGCAGACCCATTAGCACTAATTAGAAGAGTACCATGCTTCTCTCCACCCATCCTTGGAAAGAAAACAATGTTAGGGGCCTACCTAGCATCTCTCAGCATCTCCTTCCAACACACTTACTTAAAAAGGCATGAGAAGCTATGTGGACTGTCCACCAGACCTTCTCTACCCAGATCCAAGAATAAGAAATTCAGCTGCTTTTATAGCCAAAGGAGACCTGCCAAATTCCTCCACACACATTTAATCTGACCTTGTTTCCTCAGCTCTCTGGAGCGGCCAAAGCGACAGCAAGAGCTGCAATATCCCAGCTCAGCAGTTTCATTACTGCCCTCCTGTAAAGGCTGTTTCTGGGGTGCGACACGCAGTGAGGTCCCTGCTCGAGGGCGCTGGCTTTGGTGCACCCACATGCATGCACAGGCACTCTGTGCACCAGACATTATGACTGTCTTTGCATGGAGGGAGAAGCAGGGATAGATTTTTTTTTTCAGATAAAGGGATAACCTTTAGTGGATAAATGTTCCCCTCCCGTGGAGCTTCCCCAGGTTTCCGGCTTTGCACTGTCCCGAGAAGCACATCTGTGCCTATGACAGCACACTGAAGCTGTTTGTTGCAATGGAAGCGGAGGGAATCAGAGAAGCCCGAAGGACATTTTTGGAAACCATAGCGCTGCAGCACACTCCCCTGTGCTCGCTGGCTGCTCCCGCTGCCAGCTCATGCCAAGCTGGGCGGGCTGAGGTCCTGCCTGCCAACCACAGCCTGGAGATCCTGCCGTGGAAGAGAATGGAGCCAAAAAGCTGCATCTCCCAGAGCTTCCTCTTGGGCTGGCCACCCTGCCCGTCTGCCAGTGAAGACGCAGCCCCACGCCTTCCCTCCTCATACACACCCAGCATCCCCCTGCCTCCAGCTCCCTGCTCAGAGCAACAGCGCCAAATCCCTTGGGAAGGGATGAGGGAAAAGCTGGGAAAAGCCCACTGATGGGAATGCAGTGCAGCTGAAAACAGCCAACTGCTCAACTTATTTAGTAAAATCTGAACGTCCCTTGTTTTGCAGTAAGATGCTAGCTAAGAGCTGCCGCAGCCCAGCGGCAAAGACGCTTCCCATGGAAAGCACCGGCGCGGGCAGGGCAAGAGGCAGAGCAGGCAGAAGGATGCGTAATCATGGCTGCCAGTGAAATTTTCGCCTGCAAATATGAGTCATAGCCCAAAGCCTGCTGATCTTTCCGATAAACATAACTCTTGCTTCATGGACACTATTCCAGAGTATATTTTTTTTTACCCTAACGCAGAAGGTATTTTTTCTTTAATGGCATTTTAAAGACACACACGACGCAAGTGAGGCCATAGGAAGAAGTTTTTGGCAACACACACACTCTACCATGTTATGGTCCAGCTCAGTATGCAACAAGGACTTTTTTGCTCTGGGAAGTAGGAGCCATTCAGCTGAAGTGACCCCACTGGACAAAAGGCAAAACCATCATGCCAAAATGCAATTTCTTAAGAACACAACCCAAAAGCAATTACAGTTTTTTTTTTTAAACAATTCAAGAGGCAGTTCTTGGTCTACTCAGCCACCAGACAGAAGCTCATCCAGTTCACTTTTCTTTGCGTATCCAAAGCTGATTTTTTTTTTTAATGACTGAGGCCAAGAAACACCCAAAGACATTAAAAGCATTAATCTGAGTTTCTTTTCCTTAGATATGTGCTACACAGAAACAAAACGAGCTGCATTCAAACAGCAGTTTGAATCCCTTTTAAATCAAGGGCTAAGCATCACCTTACAGACAAAATCTCCACATCTCCAACACACCTTCCCACATAAACAATACCAAACCCACTTTGGTTTCTCAGTTCAGGAACCCACTTCCAAAAAGCAGTGAGCTCCAAATGCCACACCAAAAGGGCTGGAGACCTAGGGAAAAAGCACCCAGCGAGGCCAGCATGCCAAGGAGCCTCCACATCTCACGCTGCCTCTGCCAGCGGCTTCCAGGCACTGGAAAATACAGCTCTTCAGCACGCAGTTTCCACCACAAAACCCAGAGTAGCACTCTGCTCCACTTAAAACAAATAACCAAAGAGACGTTCATTTATTTTTACTGGACTGGGATCGCTTAACAAAAAAACCTGCACTGACATCTGCCCCCTCATCTGGTTTTTGATCTCCATGGGATATAAAGGATTTTGAAAGCAGGGGTGAGACCTGATGCAAAACACAATGAAGTGGGAAGACGTGTCTCCACAAGGCTGGGCACGCCACTGATCTTGCCCCTACTCCTACGTATAGCTGCAGTTGCCTCCCATACCCTGAAAGCCTAGCTTCTCACTCCTTACAGCCAACAGCGACGGGCAAAACTGCCACAGCTGTCTTAGCCCAGCCCTCCAAATCCTATTGAAAAGGCTGCAAAATCCAGCATCAGTATTTCCAAGCCTAAAATAAATATCTAAATTCATGCTTTGGGCACTGAATAAAAAGGGATTAATTTCCAAGGCTCCAAATGCCAGGACACAACACCCCACCCCCAACGCCCCCCCCGGGTCTAAAATCCCACCAGTTTCTCAAGTGCAGTCCTTTTTGGAAGAAAGAAACAGATACAGGTGCAAAACTAGACTTAGGGGCTAAAAAGCTAAAACCTCCTTCATTTTGCATAGCTCTGAAAGGCACCTCAGAGCCTCCCAGGTGTCTTGGCCATCTCCATGTACCACTGTCAAACAAGCACCAATGAAAATTGTCTCAAAAGACACTTAATTTTCTAATCCAGCATTATCTCCTTGCTGCAGCTTAGTATATAAGATCCAAAACTTCTACATACCACCAGGCCATGTGATGTGTGCACTTAAAGAATGGCAGAAAACCAAAATACTGCAAATGGAAAATGTAATTACAGAAGGTTGATTAATATTCCTGGCTAACCATTTTAGCATCAGGATAAAGGCTTATTGTCTCTGGCTCTTTCGTTGCCTGCAGAATAACATTTACTATTATCTTCATCTTTCAGAAAGGAGCCAAACCCCGGGCCTGCTCGTTAGTCTGTCTTAGCTATACAAACTTTCCTCACTCCTTGGGTTGAAAACCAGGCCAAAAAATGACTTGAGCGTTACAGAGCTCTTAGACAGCTCATGCAGAAGAAATGCTTGATATGAATTACAGCATAAAAATACCTAGTCAACAGGGTAAGTATTGTTTCTCCCACCTCAGTGCTCGAAGGGGAGAAGACGACCATACTCGGCCACTGCGGCTTGGAAACAGTGAGACTCTGCCATGCCATGACCGGCTCTCCCCGGGACGTTCCCCTTGATGCCACAAACTCTGCTGCTGAGCACAAAGTACTTCATGGTCAACACGCTGCATCGCCCCAACGGCAGGGGACTTTCTAAGGTCATAACTACCCTGAATCTTGGGGTTTGAATATGGTAGAGAGGGTGAAAGGTGGTGAAAGTTGGAGCATGCAGGGAGATGCAACAGGGTGCCACAGCAGTGATGAGGAAACCTGCCCCAGAAGTCATCAAGGTATCTGTATGCTGCTCCTCCTGCACTGGGGTAAAACAGATCCTGAGTTACTAGAAACTAGTGTGCAGGATTTAGTCCCTGTGATACTTCATCAGACACTGCTGGATGCAAAGCACCGTTCGTTGCAGCAAAGAGCATCCTCACCAGGAAGCGGCACACCACTGGCACCTTCACCCGCCTCGAGGGTGCTGAGCCCCTCCACACCTCATGGACATCGACTGGTCTGGGTCATCCCTCACCCGCCGTGAGGGAAATGAATCTCTAAGCTCTCATTTTGGCTACGGGACTTAGGAGGTCAATCAGCTGGCCCAAAATCTTGGCTATCATGTAGATAGAGGGAGCATTTGCTGCTCATGCCTGTGATCAGCAGGCAGCTGCTCCACCCACAGCAAGGGGCAGCCAAAGCAGCACGAGTTGTGGCACAGCCGGTTCTCCTGCCTCACACGTCGGTCCCATGCCCTTTCTCTCCCACCTCTGAGCTCTGGTAATTAATTAAGCACTGCGGCTGAAGAAATTCCTCTGTCGCGGCCTGCCTCATCATGCCAAGAGCCACGCAAGCTCACACGCTCACCTCTGCTCACCCTTCCTAGAGGATGCTCAGTTCTGGATTTAGGTAGTACCAGCATCTAAATTCATCGTCTGAATTTGGAAGGGACCACGTTGTGCACTCCAGAACCACCATGGCAGATTTTGGCCCTTACCAACATTGAGGCTGGCACAAACATGCAGGAAATATCTTGCAGGTCTCCTGCCTTCCAGCAGCACCTCCCAAATGAGCCCTTGTGATACACACTGCAGTATTTCTGTGCCATAAGGAAACACTGACCAATTTTTGCAATAATGTGGTGGAAGGGACTGCAAAAAACCCACATGGTGGGTGGCACAACTGAGTCACCATCCTGAGATGTCTCTGCTTTAACCATGAGAGCCAACTCTCCAAAACTGAGAAGCAATTTATGCCCGGGCGAGCACTGTCATTGTGCCAACAACAATATCTGTGCCAGGCTGGGAGAGGAAAGATGACTGTTGAGTGGCATCAGATCCAACGGGGCAGATTCAGTCCTGCCAAGAGCATGAAGCATAAATGAAGCCAACCCCAGTGAGGGAAGAGCTGGTTTCCCACAAGCCCGCGTCCCATCCATCACTCCTGTAGACGATGCCTATCTCCTGGCTCCCAAAATCTGGACCCAGGAGAAAACACACCCAACCAAAAGGGCTATGCAAGGCTGGAATGAACAAAAATGGAACTGTATGTCAGGAGGGGAAAAAGCAAACGGAGCCGACACTGGTGAGCAGGGCAGCTCAGACACACAGCAGAGGGGAGTAAGCACTTCCATCCCTGACTCACAAAGGGATATGGAGCAACCCACCTACTTGTTTCAGAAAGATCTTCAAGCGAACATCTCCAAAAACCCTAAGGACATGGCTAACATGGCACCGAGCAAATGAACTCTGCCTTTAATTACTGCTCACAGCTCCAGTTTTGCTGACAAAGAGAGAGAGCAGGCTATCAGCTCTCAGAGGTGGGATCATCTAGTCCCAGATGCCAAAGAAGGCAGGTACAAGCAGTAGGAACCAGCTCCAACCCTCAACATGGCTCAACTGCTGCAAGATGTGTTTGATACACACTTAAGAAATGCATGAAGGCAATGCACGATGCTGCTGCACACAAACATACATAAATCTTAAAAGATTTCATCCCAGGTGCTCAGGGATCAGCACCAACAAGTCTAACCATGCGATGAAATCTCAGCCCTAAATCTGCATTTGCAAAAGCTCCATTTTCACCCTTTAAACTGGAAATTAAATTAAACTTTTTCTTTGCCCGTTCATGTACAAAAGAACATAAAAACAATAGCCTCTACTTTTCAAGGCATCTTTCATGGTTTCTGCAAGCAAAATTGAGTAGTTACTTCCAAGAAAACCTTACCCTGGTCCACAAACAGAATAGGAGAAACCTCCTCTTTTTTGCTTTAAAACCCCAGAAATCAGAGGACTCACCTTGCACACAGCAGCCTGCAAAATTGCATCGAAACCGCCCTCTGGAGCATCTCGATTGCGGGAAACCTTCTGTTTCTGAACTTCTTCATTGAAACGGTCGACTTTATCCGTTAGGGACAAGAGGTGGCGGAAGCCAAAGGATGGGACACAGCTGGGAAACAGCTTGTAACTGCAGGAAGAACAGAGGAGTGGTCAGCTGGGAGGAACCACACCAGCAGCCAAGAGCTGCAGAAGCTCCCAGCTCAACCAGGCTGGTCTCCAAATCTTTGTTCAAAGGGATGAAATACTTCTGCAAGGCTTCATGTTTTGGACACTTTGATTTCTGTCTATTTACCTACAAAACTCTACAGTAGCGCCCATGGTTTTCGTTGTCTCCCTTGGGGGTTTTGAGCAGCTGAAGTTTCCAGAGATCTCAATGGGGCAAAATATCTCTCTCTGTGTAAAACCTGAGTAAAGACACCACGCACCCAGCCATGCAGCTCTGGAGTTTCAGCACCCATAAAGTAGTTTTCCCACTGGACTCCTGCAGTGCAGGATGCAACCCGCAGTGGTGCGGTGGGTGGCCAGAGCCACCCTCCCCAGCAGCCCAGGATGGTGGGCTGGTGCCAAGGGGCACCACGCAGGAGCGTCACTGCCAACAGCTACTTTCCCCTTACTGTTCATTACACGTTTTCACTCTGTCACCTGGTTTTCTTGGCAGTACGTGCCACCCCACACCCACTGCATGTCACCAGGCACCTGGCAATCGTGCATCATGAGGTGCATTAATAACTAAAGCCACTCATGCATCCTCCCACTCTCCTGCAAGATGGTGAGCAAACACCAGCTCCAGAGTGGAAGATAGGAGTGGCACTCGAAGGCAGAGAAATGCCCTGGAAGGCTACCAGGAACCTTCTTTTTCCAGATACAACAGGAAGGAGGCAGCTTTGGTGTTCACGGTGTAGCCGTGAGACCTCAGCAGAGCAGCTCCTGTGGTGTGGTAAACCTGTGAGTGTGTGAGGGGGAGGGGACAACAGGGGTTAAGAAGAAAATGTGTTTAAAAAGGAGTTGGGCTGGAACTAATTCACTCTTATCTGCAAAGATAAAACATGGAGAACAATTAAAGGCCTCTGCTGACACATGACCCACTATGGGTAAGTTTAAGTGTTTAAGATTTACCACCGCTGGGAACTCAAATCCCTCACAAAGGTCCCCAGAGCAGGGATTTCCACCCGCATAGCCATGGGTAAGTTGTAAGAGACTTTTTACACAACAGAGTATTTAAGATTTACCACTGATGGGAACTCAAATCCCTCACAAAGGTCCCCAGAGCAGGGATTTCCACCCGCATAGCCATGCACACACCTAACCACCGGGCACGTCCCGCTGCCCAGGGCCCAGCTGGCAATTGGAGCCACCCCTTGTGATCAGCCCCAAGTCCAGACTTGCATCCCACTCACATCTAGGGCCAAGGCAAGGAGTGCATGATGTCTGAAACCTCTGCACTGCAGGGTCTCAGCAAGCAGCCCTTAACCCATACGATACATCTGGGTGTGTGGTTTGCTGAAGTCCTGGTCCAGAAAGAAAACACTGACATACTGTAGGATCCAACTGCTTAGGGTCTCACTCCTGTCTAATCTCTACCATCCCAAAAGGATCTATAATATAGAATAAAATAGAATAGAATAGAATAGAATATTACTTAATCCTTTTGTGTGTGTGTTTTACACTCCAGGTTTGCTGGCAGATGCTCCACGCAGCAGCAGGACAGATGATGGATAGCTGAGTGACTGTGCAAGGGCACACAGCAGTGTGGGTGGGTTATCTCAGGCTGTAACCTCCTCAGGTCTTATCACAGATGGGTGGGCAATTGGGTGTTCAGTCAACCCCTCTGCCTTCCTTATCTTTTAAAATTTAGTGTTTGTTTCCTTCATGTTATCTCTCTTAAATGACACCGTGGCTGCAAGAGTCCACGTCCTGGCTCCCTGGGAGGTCCCAGCCAGGATGCTGAGCCAGGACCAGGGGCAAGCACTGAGCCAGGGTGGGAGGGAGGAAGCAGGGATCCCAGCCAGGTCCTGCATGAAAATGGCTTCACCCCACCCAGACCTACAGAATGGCCATCACCCTGAGGAATAGGAGGAAAGAGCCTGGAGCAGGGGCAAAAAACACCCAGCACAGCTCATGTTTACTTGCAGCTTGTCTTAGATGCAAGCAGGACACTGGACAAAGTCTGCTTTGACACCAGAAATAGCTGCAAACAAAACCCCACCTCACAACCCACCTCACTGCCACACCATCGAGCCAGCTGGCAGCAGAGGAGGCAGGGGAGGTCAATGCCATCAGAGAACAATGGAGAGCCAGCACCGCTGGTTTGGGCAAAGAGGAGACAGACAGTGACTGGAAGGAAGCATCCACCAGATAAGCGGCCTTAGCCAATCCTTCCTAAGCAGTTTCCCAAGACCAGGCTGGCTTAACATAGCCCATAAACAGAAAAGCAGCCACCTGGGAAAACCAAAAGACCTACAGGTAGCCTGATCATGGTGGGAGAAGACAAGGCAGCATTTCTGGATGATCCTGATGAAAAGGCTTCTCCAGTTTCAAGCATGCCTTGCTGCAGGGTTGTCCAGCTCCATGCTCTCCTTCTCTCCCAGCCCTACCCTCCTGCACATCTCCCTCTATTGCACTCAGCCAAAGACAAGTCACTTCAATTAAATCACACCAGCCAAAGAAAGTTTCCAAGATTTCCTCAGCTCAAGTGAAACCCTGTCCCCAGCCTGCAAGCAACACGAGCGGGTGATGAGACTGAGGTCAATGGAGATGACTGAGTATATCCCTCTGAGGCCACGTCAGATTTCTGGGGGAAAAAGTTATGAAGAACATGGTGTACAGTGCTGTGGTGGCAGACAGCCACCTCCCCGGCTCAGTCAGCATGGTCACTTTTGGCTATGCTTTATGGGATTCTTCCTCTCTGGACAGAACTGGCGAAAAGAGAACACAGATAATTTTGTCTGGCCAGTGGTCAATGTGCAACGAGATGCCAAATGCTTGGTCAACGCCAAAAGTTGGCTTAGAAATTCATAGCTGATGCAAGCTCTCTTTAATCTGCCTGTCATATGGAATACCTAAAAGATGGATGCTCACAGAGCTTGGCATCCATTCTTGTGGTGATCTGACAATGTAAGTATCCATGAATGGCTCAAATAAAAGTGTTAACCTTACTGCCCTTACATGACTGGAAAGCACCCCAGTGATGGACGAGGTGAAGATGCAGGCCACAAAGGTAAGAGTCAACGGTGACATTCTCCCAGGAGGGCATTTGCTGCTGTACCCATCCTTCTATGCCAACATCCAAACTCACCTGAGTCTGTACACCCACCACTACACCCATTTTCACTCTGGCATAATCCCCAATTCAGTGGGCTTGATCCCAACTCCATTGGTTAAAAAGCAAACAGAAAGACTCTAGCAAAGACACTAACAAGCCAAAAAAACCAACAAGAACCCCATGGGACTAAGGCTCTGATATCACCGCAAAGCAAACCATACCGTTTGTGTCTTTTGCGACTGTCGGTCTGTGTTCCTTTCACAGCAACAAAGATGAAGAAAACTGCCTGACATCTTCAAAACACTTTACAAGAACTCATTAATCAGTACTACAGGCCAACACAAATCTCACTTCCCCCAAACACTTCCGTTGGGAAGGACTTGCATTGCCATGGTCTCCTTATCTGTAAAATGGAGACAAAGAGCTTAATTGATTTACTCAAGGCCAAACTATGACTCAGAGCTAGGATCAGAAATCAGGAATTTCTGGCTCTTGCTCCTTTTTCTTAAAGCCTGTTATGCCTGCATCCTCTTCAGGTATTTAAAAATAGCTTCAGGCTCCTGATACAACAGTTTTCCATCTCTAGATGCAGAGATCTCCCAATAGCCATGGCAAAATTGGAAGTTGTCCTATTTTGAATTACTCTGGAGCATCACAGTGATAGCTGCGGCTAATCAGCATTCCCAAAAGCTGGGACTTAAATGTGGTTCATTAGATAAAGCAAGAATGGGAAGAGACAACTGCAGCCAGGCTCTGTGCAAACACAGGGCTTGCCCCTTCAGGGTACACCTACCACTTACCCAATGCAGGGATTGTTTTGGTATCTTGGTGCTGTGTAGGAGAAAGGAGAAATGTTTTTGTCCACAAAAGAGCCAAACCCCAGCCGGAAATTGCTAGTGAGCTTTCGCATCTCTTCAGCCAACTTGGTCCCCAGATTGCGAATATTATCTAGGTCGTCGTTCATGGACAGGGAGAGATCCATCAGGTAGTAGAGGTCCACGGGATAGTCCTCCACTTGCCGAACCTGAACTCGGAAGGAGGTCCGGTCACCTGCACACACACAAGAGTGGAGAGCGGTGAAAAGGAAACTCCCGGCACACATAAAATCCAGACTGCCCAGCAGACAGATGACTTCCAAAGAAGATGGTGAAGGGAATAAGCTTTTCCAAATCCATCCCTGGGAAGACTGAAGGAAAACAGGTAATTACTTCGGGTCCTTTTAGCCTATGTAGTGTACTGGTTGGCAAGAAAAAGACACATCTATAAAGTAAGGTCATACCTCTATTTTACTTTGGAGATATGGGACATGGCCTTTCCATCTCAGCTGAAAGAACATCTGAGGGGGTTCACATGAAAAATGCTGCTGCCCCAGACTGTTCAGCTCAAGGGCATTTTCTTAGAAAAGTGGCAAAAAAAGCAAGCAGAGTGAACGTCTAATGGATGTTTCATGGGCTACTGAAAGAAGGACCCTGCACATGCTTACTTAGGTACATCCTCAAAGCAAACCAAGAACAGTCCAAGAAGTCCTGCACAAAAGAGAGAAGGAGGTGGAGCAGAAGGAAGAGGGTCAGGAGAAAACAGCCAGCAAGAGATGAATGCAAGATGTCCTCTGAGCTGTTCAGGGAAGTCAAGTGGAAGCAGACAGAAGAAAAACCTTTGGAAAGGACCTCTCCCCCAAAAAGCCAGCAGTGCTGCCATCATTCTGGAGAAAGCCGGTGAAAAGGGAAGGAAACTGGAAAAAGAAGGATGTTAGGGTGCCCCGGGGAAGTACGGAGGCAGAGATGAAGCTTCCTGAAGTGATGAATGCAAGGGAAGGACCAGACAGGGCTGACTCACAGGTTGCACAAATTTGAAGAAGAGCAGAGGAAAGCCTTTCCCCTGACCTTCCTCTTTCCCAAACTGCTTCCACCAGAGATGCCATCTAGAAGGGGTGCCAGGGAGGGGAGGCCACCACCGACATTGCCCATGCCTCGAAAAAGGTGAAGTGGTTCAAAGTGAACTCAGCTTCACACCAGCTGGACCATGGTGGAGCCAAAGAGGAGGTGGCAAGTGTTTGCTGTATGCTTTGCTGAGAGGGATCTAAATGGAAACCAACATCCTCAAACCTCGGGCTCGTTTGGAGATCCCACGTCCCCAGCTGCCACCGTGGCCCCTTTTCCAGCTCAGTGGGGTCTCAGACCCAGAGATGCGGATCCTCTCACGACCAAGTTCCCCTCCAGCCCACCTCTCTCAGCTCTTCGTGGCTGAGGCTGAACTTCGGGCATTCTCAGGTTCTGCAAAACACTTGTGGCTTCCCCTTCTCTTCCCCAGAAATGAAACGCACATTTTTTAGTATTGTGAAAATGTTCCCCTAACTGTTTCATTGTTCTCATTGTCCGGAGCAGCACAGCTGCTCCCACTTACTTCCAGCCCAACAACATGCAGCAGCATTCCAAAACCACCGTGCTGGTGACACACGGTTCGAGGGGCTTTGCAGCCCTGCAGGCACCTGAGATCAAGCTGCTCAGCCAGCTCAGTGCCCGGATACAGAGGAGTCAGCTACAGCTCCTAAACCAACACCTTCCCTCTATTTAATGATTAGACCAAGGGTTGCCTCCAAGCCAGGACCTCTTTTCTTACACCTCCCTGCAGCCTGCTACAACCCTGCCTGGCAAACACGCACATATTTTTGTGTCCACAAACACACGCACATAGGTATTGCCCATATCCCAGCTGGCGGAAGCAGGAAACTCCTGCCGTAAATATTCCCCCTTATTCTGCCCAGCTTTCTCTTCCGGCAGGAGCAAGACTTTCCCAGCAGAGCACTGAGATGTGGGATGCAGCATAATGAAACTCAGCACAGGGCCTGCAGTCAGCAAAGCAATCGAGGCAGCTCAGCCAAACCAGGTGCGCCTGACGCTGTACCTGGCACGTATTTTGGGGGAACAAAGGAGCATATTGTTTATATAGTGCAATGCCTGTCAGCACCGATTGCAGGGTAAGAAATGGTGATTGCAAGATTGACTTTAATTCAGTTTAACGCCGGGAAAATTCCTTCCCATGAATATTTTTTTCATTCCTACATATTTTTCCCTCTGGAATACCCAACCCTTTCAGTAAAAGAGGATGTATCTTTCTGCATTTCCCAACATTTCCATTTCCAAAATACTTCTTCTCAAGTATATCCTAAGATGGGAATTCCTGTGCTAGAAAGGGTATTTGGGATGCTCTAATGAAACCTTAATAATTATGAGTTTATTAGTCCCTGAGAAGCACTAAAAATAACAGGAGCCTGGTTCTTCTGTCATTCCTAACTGCACAAATGGATTATGTCAGAGAAAATATCACTAATGTATGCAGTTGTAAGTGCAAAAGATTTTATTATTCTCTGTGCACAATACTACGCTCACAATACTAGGGACAATCCAGCACCCTCCTTCCCCATGTACCATCACCATCATCCTCTCCTTAGGTCTTTTACTGAAAAGTTTTTAAGTCAAAACTGAATCCAGAAATGTTTCTTGGATGTTGTCACACAGAGGCCGTGCAGAAACTGGAAAAACTGCTTTTAGCCAGCTTAAGCACACAAACTTGACAATCATTTATCCATGAAATGCTCTTCTTTCTGCTTGGTCAGGCTTATGGCTTGACAGGCAACACAACTTGCAACTATTCATATTTTTAAATTCCTTTTAGACTCTTCATATTTTTCATCTAACCAGGACACACTGCTTTATAGCTGGACCCAAGATTAAAAAGCAGTATTATAAAAATTAAATGCTCAATCTCAAAGCTACCCTGTAAGAATGCCCATTTAAGGCCGTTGAAAATTAACTGTGGGCACTGAGATTTGGGGATGTGACTTCTGCCACAGGATGCTTGGAGCAAACTGCCTGCCTGGGTGGGATCAGCGAACAATTGACAATTTGCTGCTTTCTGCTTCTGCTTAGCAGTCTCAGAATAGAAGATCATCATCACCACAGACCACCATGTGAATTCATCTTTGAAATAGTACGCTCTTCGTGCCCAAAATTAAGTCAACATTGTCTCCTTTTTGTCTTGGGTTCACAGGGTGAAGCCCTCCGGACCCATTCTCAAGATCAAGGATTAATGGATCATTTAAACTGGGGATAATAATACAAGGGTTTCAGAAGCCATCAGCCCTGAGTAAGACGGAGTCCTGCCCAACATCAAAAATTGAGCAAAAATGGGAGATACTAGGCATACCTAACCATCTAGGTATGTCCCTCCTCCTGCACTGACTCCGACGTTCTGCAGCAGGCACGCAGGGAGGGGAGCTCCCTGGCCCAAAAGCATCCAACAGCACGGCCCCCGGGAAGCTGCAGGGAGATGGACCGACATGCCCTACCGCAGACCAGAGCAGCAGGTATCCACACCTCTGGCTGGAAAAAAACGACAAGGATTGGGAAAGGGGAATTTGCTGAGCACCGGGCACCGGGACGCAGGGAGACGGACCGGCACGTCCTGCCACAGACCAGAGCAGTGGGCATCCACACCTCTGGCTGCAAAATACCAACAAGGATTGGGAAAGGGGAATTTGCTGAGCACCGGGCACTGGGCAGGAAGGAGGGTCTGTGGGAGGTGAGATGGCAAAGCTGAGACAGCCCTTTCTGCCTGAAATTGCCTCGAGAACAGGAGTAATAATAATTCCCTCTTTACATGCGAGCAAACCTGTTTCATCAGCACCATTCAGCTGCAGAAGCCATGCAGCTCACCATGCACCCAGTGACAACTACCCTCAAATACTGGCTTTTAAGGCTTTGAAGCAAAATCTCTTTAGCTTGAGTCCTACTGCTTAGGAGGAGTTAATTAAGAGACATGAGGACTATCCAACCCATAGAATTAAACCAAAACATCCTGCAGCAACTGGTAGGCTCCGGAAAAGCGCTGGTAGCATAAGCACCAGCTCTAACTCCTGTTTTTCTTGGGCAAAACATCGTATTTCATTTTTCTGTGTGCTCATGAGGGCTGTCACAAAACTGTAAGCCTCAGAAACCCACACCAATTGCTTTTAATGAATCGAGCTTTTATATTTGCTTCTTAACTTTGCAATAAAGAGCTTTTTTTTTTCCTGCTTCAGAAATATCAGCTGCCAAATTTTTGCAAGAATTCTGAACCCACATTAAAGCCTCCCCCCACCATGCAAAAACTTTTGATAACAAGCATACTCGGCATGGCTCAGCCTAGCCCTTCCCTTCTAATTTTTAATTAAAAGGAAAAGATTGAAGAAAAGTGATGGCTCAGGGGAATGAAACAGGGATCTGGCTACAGTCCAAGGCCTGAGTCACAAGTTCAAATCTCCCATGATCCCATGTCTCTTTTGCATACCAACAGAAAACAGATATGCATTTTTGTTTCCAATTTATAGAAGGAGCTGTCTCAGTTTAGAGTCAAGCGCTGTCATCTTGGTGGAGGATCCAAAGTTATTTTAACTCCTTCCACCCAGCGATTCAAATTTTTAAGACAAGCAGGTTCCTTTTAAACATGTGCAAAGGTTAAGACTAGTACTGACAACAGTTTTGGGTGGGATTTGATTGACCTTGCGTAACAGCAGTTTCCTCTCACAGAGAACATACATCTCAGCCCCAAACCTGTTTGTGATGCACCACCAAAGCTCACGGGCTCTGGAAGGGGCCAGCAGCCACCTCTTTAGGTGGTCATGGGCTGTAACAGACTCTCGGCATGTCTCAGCCACCCTTTCTCACCCCCAACCAGCACACTCTTGCATGTGGCTCAGAGCCACTGGGGACTCACCGGGACGAAGATTCAAGGCGACCTTCTGAGGCGTGATCTGCGTGACGTCTAGGTGGGTCTGGCCGGAACCCTTGCTGCTCAGAGGGACGTTCTTCACCACACTGATGCTGCTGCTGGGGTTCTCGATGGCTCCAGCACAACCATTTGCAATAAGGTTCTGCAGGAAGTCGCAGCGGGAGGTGATGGACTTTGTGCTGCCGAACTCCTGGGGGGTGAAGGGTGGACAAAAGGGAAGGGGAGGGAGAGACATCAATCCCACAGCAGGAGCTTTGTTCTGATGTGCTGCTATCTGTAGCAAACAGAGAGAGGCTAGTGTCATTTGTGGTGGCTGTACTGAAAAGCAGCCCAGCAGCCCGCACTTACCGCCTGTCAAAGGTATCTATAAAAAAAAGAAATCCTGAAAATGGGATTTGCTCATAGACCCCCCCAGCAGAAAGCTAAGCCTGGGTTTTCACCCCAGCCACAGGAGGAGCACTTGCTCCCTGCTCTGTGAAAGCAAGGCAAAGTGGTTTGTTTGCTGCCTGGACATCTCTTTGAGGAGAACAGCTGAGAAGCCGCTATTTTTTGCACGTGTATCGCCTTGAAGGAGCTTTGGAAAAGAGAGAAGAGAGGACCAGGAGGTGGCACCGTGGAAAGCAGGACAAACCCACCAACCCAGCGAGCCGAGACAAGATGTGGAGCTGGAGACTGAGGCTGGGTGGCCCCAGGGACCCACACCCTCTTCCCAGGGTGAGACACCGCACGTCCCCACACAATCACTTCCTGTCACCTCTCCCTCACCCCTCTGCACTGCAGGCCTTGGCATGACACCATCCCATGGGAAAAAGTGACCTCAGCAAGTGGTCACAGAAGCAGAGTGCACCCGGAGTGGTTTGACATGGACAGGCTGTCCTGGGCATCTTTCCTGGAGAATAAGGGAAGTGGGAGAGCCTGCACGGGAGGTGGTCAAAAGGTAGCCTGTGGCATGCTCTCTCCTGGAGGATGGGCTGCCATGGCAGACAGGTTCCCAGCGCCTGTCCCCGAAACCCCAGCCCTCACTACGAGCCCCGTGCGTGGTGCACAATGCGGCCTTGTGCGGGGCGGTGCTCAGGGTCAACCGGCCGCACAATGCAGCCTTTTGCAAAGAGCCCATTTGTTAGAATGCCTTTTTTTAACTTTTTTTTTCCCTGAGAAAAAGGGCCAAAAAGGAGCGAGTCGCATGCCCAAAACTTATTTAATTTTCAACAGCCCATTCCTAGTTATTTCTGCACGGTAACAATAGAGACAACCATCATCTGCTCCGGGCTGATGGACTAAAATGACATGAAATAATGCAGAGAAGATGCTCACGGCCATGCCAGCCCCTCCTACAGCTGCGCCGCCGAAAACCAGCGCTGGGCTGAATAAACCCCACTTTTTGCAGATGCTCCAGCATGACAGAAGACAGGGAGACATTGAGGAGGGAGAGGTCGTCCAACAGACTGTGTGGTGCTCCAGGGATCCCCCCAAGGACAGCCTCAGCTACAGGGCTCGGGGACACAGACAGAAGCTCTCCACTACATTTTCTCGCTACGAGGTCCCATTGCTATTTGAAAAATGCAAGATTTGCATTCCAGCATCCAGCAGTGGGGTCCAGCCAAGGAGACAGCACGTCGGATGGATGCGAACACGAATTTCTTGGAACGCAAAAAATTCCAGAAAGGAGGACTGGGACTATTTAAATCATCTCCAGCGTGGCAAAATAAAAACCAGAATCCCTCACAAAACCGAAAACAACACCCAGTGTTTCAGAGCAGTGTTTAGGGCAGCCTTGGAGAGAAGTTTATCTTGGATGTGGTTTGACATGAAGTCAGTGAAAAGCTAGTGGGGTCCAGGTGCCCTCCTGGGCTGGGCAGCCATGGGGAGATGCTCTCCTTCATGGTCTCCTGGTGCCTGGACCATGGGTCCAGGTGAGCACCTCATTTCTGCTGCCCACCTATTAGAAAGGACACTTTGGTTGTGCAAAAAGCAACACAAACAGCACCAGGAGTACAGCCAGGAACCTTTAGATATTCCACAGGAATGAACACTGGAGAGAATTATCCAAATAGGACGATGTTTAGGGTTGCTCGTGCAACTGCAGCTTTTATCAGGCATTTCCAATCCTCCACGGGGTCTGCTCCAAAGCCTCTTGATGTGAACGGAAGACTCAACTTCAAAAGGCTTTGAATTAGGGCTTAATTTTCTGGCTGGGGCTGGGGAGCAGAACAAGAGCCAGGAGGGTTGGACAGCCCAGGGCGGAGGAGGATGGCGGCTGCCTCCCCCCGCTGCTACTCTTTAACAGGAGAGCTCGTAACACCACGAGTGACGGCTCTGGCTCTGGTACTGTTGATACCGACCTTCGTCATCCCAGCAAGGGTTGCACATGAAAGCAGCATCCGCATGCCAAGGATGAGACAGCACCCGCACACGGGGCAAGGACCACAGGACCACAGCCATGTCCATCGACGAAAAACGGTTACTGCTGCGAGGCGTGACAGAAGTTGTCCGGCAGAAGCCCAGGGGGTCAGGGAAATCCCCTACACAACTCCCCTGACAGGAGATGCACAAGCTCTCAGGTCGGCAGCACCTCTGCACCCCTCCAGTCACCGGGTCCCCCTCGCTTGATCCAGCTATTTTCTCCAAACCTTTCTTCTAAAATGGGCCCAGAGGACTTGCCACAGGATGAGCTGCAGCTCCAATCAAATCCAGGCTCTCTCTTGTTCGGTGAAATGCTGCATTACCCAGGGCGGAAGAAAATAAACCCCTCGGGGGTGTAAACACCGCGGGGAAGAGGGTACAGTGCAGCGCCCAGGGGCTGTAGGACTCAGCCCTCTTTCTGCTTTGGTTTCTAACCCAGGCAGGGTGACACTGAGCAGGGGAGTGACAGTGGCCTTGGGAAAGCCCCAGCAATGGCCACAGCATCCTGCAAACCAACAGCCCTCATGCACCCGCAGGTCAAAACCCAAAGCCAAAACTGTGGCTACTAGGTACCATCCAACACAAAGTTTTCTGCGATAGAGTAAAATAGAGGTTGCCAGAAGTTAAGCAGGAACCGCCCCACGCACTGCTTTGTGCCACCGAGAAGCATCCCACCTTGAGAGGGATCCTTGTGAGCGATGCCAGCTGCTCGCAGCCTGGTGGGCACTTTGTGGCCCGGCCTCTGCACAAACAAGCTCACAAAAGCAAGTGCACGTGAGCGGACAGAAGTGAATGCAAACAACAATGTGACAATTACATGCTCATCAGTTTGACGGTTTTAAGACAAATTGCTTGGTTCACGCCATAAAAATGGAGAATAGCACTGACTGTATCTAACTGACTGTATCTAACTCCTGACTAGATGTGTCCCTACCATTTTTGGCTTTAATCAATCCAGTTCTGCATTAATTCAATCTGAACTATGCCTGCTTTCTCCATTTCAAAAAGCTGACATGCTCCCACTAGGAACATCCTTGGTTTTCCTTCCTTATTCTCCAGGCACACAGTCCTGAGGTGGGAGAGGATGGAGTACAAGCAACCTGCTGGAAACCAGAGGGTGTCACTGGGGAAATTTCAGTTCAAGTCATCAAAAAGGAAATTTCAGTTTAATTAATATAATTAATCTGTGTCTCTATTTGGCATATGCACACACAAATGCATCCACATAGGTAATGCCTGGCTGAACATATGCACACAAAATGTACACACACTGAACAAACAAGAGGAGCCTATGCACGCTGGTATGCTGCTCCCGAAAGCAGCAAACAGAAGATAACAGCAACATCATAGTGTAATTTTTTCCTCTATACTAGTACTGCCAAACACTTTTGTGGAGAGCATTCCCCCTGCAATCACTCCAGGTAGGTTCATCATGAACACAAACCCAACGTATCTGTCACATCCCACCTGGAAGCTCAGAGGATGGTGCTGAAGATATTTCCAGAGCTCCCTGCTCCCCCCAGCAAGCCCAATGAGACCCAGAGAGCCTGGGCAACCTGACAGCACCGTAAACAAAAAAAAAAAAATCAAGGAGCATCCTCCTCTCCCAGCCACGAAAACCAGGCTGCCACAGAGACCACAGCAACCCCACAGGCCAGCGTGCCGCTTCCAGCCAGAGTCTTTCACCAGCAGCGTGTCAGCAATTTCTAGTCATTGCCAGCTTCTTCCAGAGCTTGCAAGAGAAGCTGAGAACTCTCCTCAGGTTCCAGCATGGATGGAAAGGCTGCAGCAGTCTCCATCACTCAAGTCACATATTTCCCCCAGCCAGCCCTGTTGCAAGGGAAGCTCAGGCGACGGTTAAGACCACACACACACACCTCTTATTTTAAGTACCATTTAAACAGATCACACCATTTAATTCCTGCCTTTCAAGGTATTCTCCCACGAGCCAACAGGATTGATGTCTGCCTCCAAATTTCCAACAGCCCAAAGACTTGTGGTTAGCTCAGCATCCCCTGGGGCTCCGGGGCTGCCGGATACCAGAAACTGCTATCATCAACTCATCCATCATCACCCTCTTGGATGGGACCAGAGATGCTGAACACAAGCAGAAGTGAATGGAGGCCGATTCAAGACGAGGAGATGTGATGCACCCTGTACTAACAGGTTGGGAGGTGGTAGGTGTAAATTTATAACATGCTGACTACTCTGCTGTAAGCAGCTATCTATATGCATGCTCTTACCCTCACAGTTCAAGGCAATGTAAATACAAGGAACCTTATCCCATTGGAAAGCCATTGGGATAGGGCTCCTTGTATCTACACACAGAATTGCTTCTGCACACTCCTAAACCCCATTTCCAGTCTGTGAGTGCTTGAGACTTTCTGCTCCTCTGCAGTCACAGGGAGCCTGGATCCAGGAGTGCAGAGGGTGATGGAGGAGGATGTAACACTGCAGGAGGCTGTGTGAACCATGGTTGTCTCTGGGAAACAGCATGGCTTTCCTGCTCGTACTGCTACTCTCTCACAGTCAGGGTGTCCCTCACAGCATTGGCACTACCAGGCACCCAGGGGGCAAAGAACAAACAGGTATGATGGAATCACCAAGTGTTGTCATTCCTCAAAGGGAGAAATATTATATATAAGAAGGTACATATACACAGGAAAGGATAATAATAATATATAAGTACGTTTTGTGTATCTCTAGTATCTGTATTACATACATCTCTACACTTCCTGTATATATAATGCATACATACTTATTATAATACATAATTATATATAGAATTATATTACATATACTTTTAGACTTCTATTATATATACTTCCTGACAAAATTATTAATTGTTGCCTACAAAGATGACAACAGCTGGCCCAAATTGCTCCCAAATACGTTAAGTAAATGCAAAGGGAGCAGAAAACGCACACCAAGCAGCTGATCGTGTTCCTACCGCAACAAAACTGGTGTCTGCAGAAACGCCTCTGACATCTTAACCTTGATATTTAAGCAGCAGCAGAGCTATAGAATTTGACTGCAATATACATTCCCGGGCAACATACCGCTGCCAATGACAGCTAATGGAAACAGAAGGAAAACAGACTAAAAGCCATTTAATAAGTGAACTTGCCTAGGCTGCGGCAGAGGGAAGGGAAATAAGGTGATGAAATGACTATGCAAAGAAAGAGGATATTAAGGGTTCATAATAGTACTTTAAAACTTTTGAAGTCAAAAACGTCTAGATATCTTTGGCAATCCCATTGCCCCACCTGGTGATCTCAGTTAAAGAGAAATAGAGTTTCAAACAGTAAATTCTAAAAAAAAAAATATGCAGAATTAGAACAAGAACTCCCGAAGTTTTAGCATGCAGCGTGTAATAGGGACAGCAGCCTTGAAACACGTAGTTCTTGGCATGAAACACCTTGAAATGTATTTTTAAATAGCTGCTGCAGGCTAAAGGTCAGGAAGTATTACTGCACTTCCCTGTAAACACCCGTCTTCCTTCTTGCCCCACCCCCCCAATTCCATTTAGGAATAGTTTTTTTTGGTAACTCTCCTGTTTGCAAGATAAGAGTCAGGCTGCCAGTCCCATGGACTGCCATACAATTAGTGGTCACAGCGACCACCAGACAAACATTTCCATTGGCAGCAGCATTTTGCAAAAAGTTGTCTTTTGATGCCAAGAATTAAAAAAAAAACCCCAAACAAAAAAAAATGCAAGCTATTGGGTACCCATAGCTTAATAGCTAGTGTTGCTGGATCCAATCTCACCGCCGCAGATTTGCTGGCTGGAAGTGGAGCTCTTCCAGCTGTTTACAAGATGTCTCAAAAGCAGGATCTATTGCTTTACCCTTTCCCTTCTGCACACCGTTTGCCTTGCTGGAAAAAACCCATGGAAGCTATCACGCTGTCAGTTAGCAGGGTGTTAGTAGCATTAGGAGTTTTTCCTTGGAGAACTGCGACTGTGCCTACAAGTAAGAGAAAACGCAGTAAAATACACCTGGAGAGCCAAAGGCCGGGGTACCCCCTGAGAGCCAGACAAACCATGGAGCAGAAAACGCAGTAAAATACACTTGGAGAGCCAAAGGCTGGGATACCTCCTGAGAGCCAGACAAACCATGGAGCTCAGGAGGCCCTCTCACCCCATCCCTATCCCCATCTCCATCCAGACCCTGCAGGGTGCAGCCACCCCAGGCAGGGCTGGCAGAGGAAGGGACAGGAGCAGCAGAGGAGCAGGCAGGCAGCACTCAGCTCAGCATCGCTGGCTACAGGTGAAGTGTGCATTCAACCCCAGGGCTTGCTGCCCCCAGAACAAGAACAGGACAGGGATGGCCATACTAGAGGAAAAAGGGTCAGCAGGGAACAGGAGAGCATCAGAGCGATGCCATGCCTATTGAGAGGTTCAGGATCATCCACCACTCTGGGGTTTCTCACAGCCCAAAACTGGTTCCTGGCACAGCAGCGGTGTCTGCAAGTAGGCAGGGTCTTTCCCTGCACCTGGAAGCATCCGCATTTCTCTCTTAAACACTTAGGACAGATGCAGGCACTAAGCAGACAACAGCTATCTATGCATCGGACATTACCGGGTCTTTCACACACCTTCTTCTCTAGAAATTAGTCTATGTCATAATGTGTATATTTGATTAGAAGTATACATCTCTCTCTAAACTCAAGAACCGTCCTTAGGGAGCAGGGAAAGGTATTTGCAAATTCTCACAAACCAAGGCGGCACAATTAAGTTACGGGTGAGCAGCTTCAGCGCTAACGTAAGGGTGCATTTTTCACCCGAAGCATACAGTTAAGCTGTGTAACTCATCGCCACAGTGCGGATGCCAGAAGCATGGGTCGGGTCCCAAAATGACACAATAGATTCAGAGAGGAGAATCATCTTTGTTAGAGACAAAGAGCCTGTGCCATGCTAGGCCACGCAGCAAAGGACATGTAGCCGGACACCAGCCAGGGTCTTGGGGCTTTTTAGGGAGAGAGCTTTTGGGCAAGGCTTCCTGCAACACAGAGTCCATGCTCCCTGCAACACGAGTCCACCCTGCACTCACCGAAAACAAGAAGGTAATTGAAGGGACAGAAGGACTGGAGGAACAGTGCTGCTCTGTTGGGGATGCACAGGGGCCAGCAGGGTCAGAGACTTACTTCCTACAGTGTCAAAGAGCTGGAGAGTCACATGTGCCCCAGCTATGCTCGGCGTGGGAGCCCCCACCCCTCACCCACCCTTCCTGGCACGGGATGGTGTCAGGAACAGGTGGGAGAGGGATTAGCTTTCTGCATTACAAAAAGCGTGCAAGACAAATGAAGTCTGCCCACCTACCTCCTTGGAGCACCAGGCACACTTGGGATGGATGAGGAGACACTCTTCGCAGGATGTGGCGCTTCCACTCGTGCACAGATTGAGACCTTGAGCAAGAAGAGAACCACAGAGAGCAGGGTGAGCTGAACAGTTGCTTCACTCCAAAACAGTGCTCAGGGGTCTTCCTAATGCTTCCTAAATTAGGAATGGGATATTCCTAATGCTAAACATATTGTAAATTCAGACAATTTCAAGAGCAAAGAATGTCCTGGGAGCTGAAAAGGCTGGAGAAGGAATAAATCCCTCTTCACCTGTAAGGAGCTCTCATTTTCTTTTCCTTCTCCAAGAAAAATGAAAAGGACAGAAAATGGCTGGGGGGCGGAGAGGAGGGGGTGTGTGCTGAGAACTACCAAAATACGACTCTGGTGATTTTTCTTCCCTCTTTTTTCAGTGGTTTCTGGTTAATCAAAGAGTTCATCTATTCATCTTCCTAATGAAATACATCCAACGCTGTGGACAGAACATAGTAGCTGTTCAATTAGTCTGAAATACAGAGGTGGCTATCCAAAACTCCCTGACATGCCAACTTTTAAACTCAAACTAGGCACATCTCAATTTTTCCAGCTGAAGATATATGGAGGGCCCATCCCCAAAATTTTCATCTTAACGCAGCCTTGGAAGATAGTCGTCTCCCCCCTGCAACACAGGTGATTTCCATACTGGACTCATGTTACAGTAAATTACTTTTAATTTATTACAGGAGTCATTTCCACAGGATATCCAGGTTAAGCCAGGCAGCGTGTTTGAACTGGGGCACATCCAAGGCTGGCTGGGGTGGAAGACACCACGCCAGGGTGCTCTCCATGGCCAAGGGCTCTCCGTGCCTGCGATGCTGGCAGGGGCTCGGCACCCACCGAGGCAGCACCGAGGCAGCAGGAGTGCTTTTTGCTCATGGATTGCTGGCGTCCAGCAGCACAAGGGGCACCGAGCAAGTTCCATTTGCAAAATCTATGATTTTTGGCTTTGGGCTTCAAAAATAAAGTGAACCACATAAGTTAAGCCGAAGCAAACATCAATGGTATCGGCTTCGAATGCAGCAGCTTGTTTAAGCATGCCTGTGGCTATGAATGTGCCCTTCGATACCACCAATGCCCCAGCTCCCCCGGGTGCAGCTATTAACTTCTACTGTCAATAACTGATTAAACAAATCTTCAACTGAGGACTCGGTACAGAAGCTGCACACTCCAAACGAAATGCCTCGGGCTCGAACTCCGAGTCTGCTATTTTTTTCCAACCCAAATGTCAATAAAAGCATTGTCAGGCCTCTATTTTCAGCCAGTCGCATCTGCAGATCCCATTGCTCCACACTGCTGCTGGGTTTAAACAGCAGATTGCACAGACTTGCCGATGGTTGCTGAAGAGCCACAGAGAGTTTTCTCCTGTCCCAAGAACTTTCTCCCCAAAGAGCTTTGGAAAAGGGATTTTCTTGCTGTATCCCCATGTGAATATTTCACTGACAAATGAAAAGCAGTGGCTGCCAGGGTCGCTCCCGTGCAGGGCCGCGCTGTGAGTGCAGGAAGCAGTGAATCAAGTTGGACAGCAGAGGAGAACCTAGCATGCCCTAGGCTAAAAGCAAAAAGAGGATAAGTAGATCCTGTCAGTAATTCTCAGTCATCATCGAGGTGTCACCATGTCAGACCCGGCACGGACAGGTCTCTGCTGCCCGCAATGCGGTTAACTCCAACCCCAGAGCACGAAGTCCTGGATTTTCCCTACGGTTCACATTCAGACAGGCTGCTTGGGCTCATTCATGCTGAACAAGAGCCTTCTTAGGGTTTTTTTTTTTCGCTGGCTGTTACCACAACCCAGGCGTTTCAATCCTTGTTCACATTCAGAAGTTATATTCCAGCTCCTGGACATTGCAAGAGCTCAAAACATATATGGAAAATAAAATAAAATATAACTTGTTTGACTGAGTTGTAATTTGCACAGAGATTAACACTCTAAACCCTACAACACAGCTGAAAGCTTTTCCTCATGAGCCGCTTCTCTGGAAACAGTGCGCTGGGTAACGCAGCAAAACACATGGGCTTTATAAAGCAAACACTTGCGTTCGTACCCTGGTTACCCAGCCCTGGCTCTCCCATGGCTTCGCTCGCCTGTCTGCATGGAAATAGGATAATATTTACCTCCATTCCTGACTGCTGGATTTTTGAGAGTTTACTTAGTAAGAGTAATATCTGAATGAAAAGCAAGGTCTCCCCCTTCCATTGGGTGCCATGACCAGAGCAGCCCATGCTCCCGTGGCTGGCCATGGGGTGACATTCCTCCTGGTGGCAGCTTTTGAAGTTTCCAAGTATGCTTTTCTTTCCACTTTGGAGCAGAACCAAACCGTTTCCAGCATTGTTGTGAAAACGAAGCTTTTTGAAGCCCTCCAATTTTGGACTGAAACACGAGCTTTTTGACTTGTGGAAACACGCAGGATTTTCCAGATGGAAGTCTTGCTGTGCTTGATTCAGCACAGTCTTTCCTGAATCAGGCAAACGAAGGACCTAAAGATGCTCAAGCTAGTCCAGATCCTTCCAGATTCTGAAGCAAGTCACCCAGTAAGATTGGAAGAAACTTCTTGATTCTGATATATTTAAATGAAACCACTCCTAAACTTTGACTAAACTTCTTAGAATGGAGAAAATTCCTTGCAGGATTTAGATGGGATTACTCCAAAGGAAAATAATCCACCCCCCCTGGATTGCTGAGCTCCATGCTACACATAACATCCTTCACACTGATACCGCTGAGTCCTAAGCCCTGCGGCCCAATTTCATTTTCCAGAGCAGCGTCCCACAGGCACAAAAAGCATCTCCAAACGATGCCTTTCCCTTGGGCTGAGCCACAGGGGAGTCCAAAAAAAAGCAAAGGAAGACAGTGCATCCCACTAGACACCCGAGATTTTAATACATCAAACTACTGATGCAGAGCAAGAGAAGAAACTCATGAAAGGTACTCAACAAATTTACCCATAAAGATGCTCTCGGCAATCAGACCTCATTTTAAACCTGTTCTGCAAGAAATCCTAGTTTGGGCAGCTCCTCAGACTGAGATTAATGTACCGGCTTTCTTGGGTGGGGGAGAGAGCGGGGAGAGTGGTGTGCGTTATTCCTTATCCAGCTAAGGGTGAAAAAGACCATTTTATTTATGCTTACGATACGCATTCTAACAGCTTCTTCCATGAGATGGTCAACTGTGTTACCGAACTGTTGATTCTAAGGATCGGACCCTCAAAATAAGTAAACAAAAAAGCTAAGAACACCCCTTCAGAGTTTCTGCAGCTGCGTGCCCCAGCGCTGTCAGATGAGCCTCGTGCTAAGAGAACTGATTACAACTCAGCACTGAGTTTAGGTACCGGGATGGTGGACTCGGGCGTTCTGTGGAATCCCTTAATATGAGTTTTCCCGGAGCGCTCAGAGAGGGGAGAAAACTCCATTCCTCCTGCACTGAGGCACAAACCCACCCGGGGCTCCGAGCGCGTCCCGATGGGGACCACGGTCGCTCCCCGGGCAGGGAGCGATGAAAGGGGAGAGCGTGGGGACGGGACGCGGGCACCGCCGACCCACGCTTGCGGCTTCCCGACCCACGCTTGCTGCTCTAGAGCCGATCGATCCTTACACCCTGCTCAGACACCCCAGGGAAGCGCTTTTCCCTGCGCAGGAGCGGCTGTAGCTGCTCCATTAACAGTGCGATCGGAGAGATGCACGTCCAGCCTTGGCGCGCGGAGGTGTACGAGGAGCTCCGCAAAGCCCCAGGACGCGGTCCTTGCCCGTCCCAGG